CTGGACAGCACACGCCATTCGCACTCAGGGTCCGTCTACACTGGGACGGCAGCTGGGGGGCCAGACCCGGCCCAGGCAGTTCGTACTGCGCTGCGTTAGCTTTATATCCTCGGGCGGATTCCTGGGCCTGGTGGCAGGTCGGGGCCCCCGTAGGAAGCGTGAAACCCGAGTCTGACTCGCGATTACGGATACGATTCTCTCACGGACGGAGATCACAAATTCTGGGACTTTCCGGGACCTCCGGGATGTCTTTGGGGGCAGGGCTGGAGCAGCTCTCAGACCCGGAGCAGTGGCCACCAGAACCGGTGTCTGGCAGCCAGTCCCGGGGCTGTCGGAGCTGCGGCCAGGGTTGGGTCAGCCCCCCTGGGCCTGGAGCAGCTGCAAGCCCTGGCAATGCTCTGCTGTGTTTGCCCCCCTGCCCCCAGGGTATTTTTAGTAACAGTCGGGACAGACCTCTCTGGCTAGATCGGAAAAGCCCCACGGCAGAAAGGCCCCGGGACGGGGTGGGCTGGACAAGTTCAGACTGGAATCCAGGTGTCCATTTGTACCAGGGAGGGGAATGAACCGCGGGAAGAATTTCCTGAGAAGCGCGTTGGATTCTCCGTCACGGACGGTTCTTAAATCAAGCCGGGCTGTTCCTCCGACAGATCCGCTCTCGGGCAGGTCCGGCTTTAGGCCAATTCCACCAATTCCCCCGAATAGGGCCCCGCGCCTAAGAGGGCCCCGCGCCCAGTGGCAGGGCTGCCGGGGTGGGGACAAGTGGCCGAGAATCCCTTCCCTGGCTAGAGGCTCCTTTTTAATTTTTACTCACCCGGCGGCGCTCCGGGTCTTCGGCGGCACTTCGGCGGCGGGTCCTTCACTCGCTCCGGGTCTTCGGCAGCACTTCGGCAGCAGGTCCTTCAGTGCCGCCAAAGACCCGGAGCGAGTGAAGGACCCACCGCCGAAGACTAGGAGCACTGCCCGGTGAGTACAAGCCCCTCGTGTTTTTTTACGTGTTTTTTATTTTTTTTTAGTCATCCCTGCTGGGGCCCCGTCGAAACTGTTCGAATTGGGCCCCGCACTTCCTAAAGCCGGCCCTGCTCTCGGGTTAGTGTGGGGCAAGTCTCTGGCCTGTGGGACACAGGGGGTCAGACCAGATGATCACCGTAGGCTCTTCTGGCCTTGGAGTCTATGATCTATGAATGGGGGATGGGGGGCACAGAGCTGCTGGCATGGCAGGGGCGGGCGGGTGGCACCCAGAGAGGACGCGGGAGAGGACGGAGGGACGCCAGGAGCCCCGCGAGTGGAATGAGCTGAGCTGGTACAAGCTACGCAGGGTGTGACCCAGGGGATTCAGACCGTTAATATGGGGAACTGCAGGCACCAGTGCAAAGCCCGGTGGTCAGTCGGGTTCAGGATCACAAGCCCTTGTCACATCTCAGGACTAACCGAGATCCCAGTGCAGCTGTTACAGGGCCCAGCTGGGAAAAGCCCCACAAGGGACGTGACGAAGGCAGACGGGTTCGGGGAATGTTCCCCACCTGGATCGGAAGGAAGTGGCCGAGGCATTCGGCTCTAGCAGCGGGACCAGGCTTTCTGTTCGGCCAGTGACCGGCGGGATGTTAAATACCAGATGCTAAAGGTCGACATGTCTAAACCGGCAGGACCGGGTAGGGAAGAGTAGCTGAAGAATTGGCGGAGGAGCTCCCTGAACCCCTGAGGTTGATGTGTAACAAACCTTGGCACACGCACGAGGTCCCAGAGGATTTGAGAAAGCTCTTACGCCAATATTAAAAGGGGTGGACAGGGCGACCCGGGAACCCAGGGGCGGGAAGGGGGTCAGCCGGCTGGGGTGTCTGGGCGGGGGAGGGGAGTGTTTAACCTTCGCTTTCTGGGACGGTGCCGTGCCTGTTCCCCAAACACAGACCGGGCCTTGGGTCGGAACGACGCTGATTTCCCAGCATCAGCTCCCGGCACACGACGAGCGGCTGTTCTCCTGGCCGCTCCCAGTTTCCATTTGACACAGAGCTGTTTGCACTGCCGGCTGGTTTTAAACCCATCGCGTTTAACGTCAGACAGGCCCAGCGCGATCGTCTCGTCTGACCCCCGGCACGGCGCAGGGCCCAGAACCTTTCCCCCCCGGGTACCAGACCCCGACTCCGGCTGAGTCACCGACGGCCCCAGATCGCGGGTTCCAGACGAGTGACAGAGACTCCACCACGGACACGAGTTCAAACCCGTCAGTGACCCAGCCCCAGTGCACAGGAAGGTGAAACCCCCCCAGGTCTCTGCCAGTCTGTTCCGGGGGAGAATTCCTTCCCGACCCCGCGTCTGGCTTTAAGCGAACACTTAACGTCACTGGCGATTTTTCGCTGCTCGTGGTTTTGTGACGGCTTAACAGGAAACTGTGCACACCGCACTCGCGAGAGCAAGGTAGCGGCGCAACAGGAAGCCGTTCAGATGCTTGGAAGGGCAGGGGCGGGGGGACCGTGGGCTGCCCCCCCTCCCCATGGAGCAGGAGCTGCTGCTGTCTGGGGAAGGCCAAGCCATGGCCGGGGCCGCCTCCGGCTACACCCCAGGCGGGAACGGCAAGACGGGTCAGTGAGGTAACCAACGTGGGCCAGGAAGTTTTCCATGCAAGAGGGGAGGCCAGGGACACTTTGGCCACCTTGGAACTTGCTAAGAGAGAGGAACTGCCTGAGCTGTCAGCGTGAGAAGGAAGGTCAAGGGTTGCAGATTAGAGGCAGCCACCTGAGGAAGACATCGAACCAATCAGAGGACTTGGGCAAGGCTGAGCAATGAGGAAGTTTTCGACCCCACGCTCCAAGCTCACCCCTTATACTGGGTGCTGCCTGCTTTTGCTTTTGCTTTTCACATCAACCCCAGAGAGAGGCAGAAAGCCACAGAGGAGAGCGGCAAAGCGTGGGACTTGTCCCTACTTCGGAGAGAAACACCAGACAGGTAAAGAACGGTAAGGGCTCTGCCTTCGGCTTGCCCCACCGCGCCCCAGGACATCATTAGCACCAGTTTACCCTGAAAAGGTTTGCTGGCGTAGGTACATCAGGTCCCTGGGAGGGGGAATCGCCCCCCTTCTGACAGAGCTGTGCCGGCCAAATTCCCCGTGTGGACGCGGCTCTAGCAGCAAACGTGTCAGGCTGTCCGGGTACAAGAACTCGTTGGCTGGTAGAAGCCGCGTCTCCACCAGCAGGGTTTGCTGGTGCAGCCCTTCTGTGCAGAGAAGGCTTTAGCCACAGCGCCGTGATTCATGGCGGAAGATTCTTTTCACGGCACGTGGCGGGGCCGGACTGTCCATCATTATCTTGTAGAGCGAGGCTGGTGGAACAGAAGCTAGAGGAGAGGCAGGTCCATCAATGGCTATTAGCCAACATGGTCAGGGATACGACCCCACCCTGGCCTTCTGACGGCCAGACGCTGGGAGGGGAAGACAGGGGTGGGTCTCTCCAAAATTGGCCTGTTCTGTCCACATCCCCTGAAGCTCTGGCTTGGGCCACTGTCAGAAGACAGGACACTGGGCGAGATGGACCATTGGTCTGGCCCGGTCTGGCTGTTTTTATGTTCTTAACCTGAGCTGCCAGGACCATGAGAGCTGGGGACAAAATGACCAAAGAGGTAAAGGTGGAAGAGAGCCTGGTAGGTCGTACGGAGATTGCTCTGGGATGAGCTGGCAGGAAAAGGGAGGGGAGGAAAAGTAGCGGTGTTTCATGTCAACTTGCTGAACTGGGGATAACACTGGGGGGCAGAGAGGGGAGGAGCCAGGACTCCTGGGTTCTATTCCCAGCTCAGCAACTAACCTTGAACAATTCCACTTCCTACATCCGTGCCTTAGTTTCTCTCTGTGTTGAAGAGACGACCAAACCCACCGGGGGCTGGGAGGATGAATTGTTTTGTGTGTGAAATTCTTTCAGCCCCTCAGACGAGAAGAGCAAAGTGTCATTAGTAATAATGAAACTGACTGAGGTGAAACATAAGAAATAATATTCGAGATGAAATAACGGGGAGATTCTTGGTATAACCCTGGGTTTTGTAATGCGGTAGGTCATGGGGGTTGGGGTCCCTCTGCACGAAGCATCTTGAGAAGCGGAAAGTGGGTGTTTGACACGGACAAGGGCAGAACTATGTTACAGGAACGCTCTGCAGAAGAGACGCCGGGACAGGTGTCAATCGCTAGCGCACAGTGAACGCGCCAGGAGGTGGCGCTACACACATATATTGCGCATAAAAGCTGCTGATGTTCGAGCTGAGCCAGTAATTGATTTTTCAGGTCAGTGGCTGAAAATCACAAAAACGCCTCATTTCGGGTCGACGCCAGATGCAAATGAAAAAAACGAAAAAGAATTCATTTGGGGTCAATTGAAATGTTTTATTTGGCCTTCTAAATTTCAAAACAAAGTCAAAATGGTTCATTCGGAAAATGTCAAAATGAAACGTTTCGACTTTTTCAAACCAAATATTTCCCCTCCGAACTGTTCTGTACCTCGGGGGGGGTTCGGTTGCAGACCCCTTAGGGAATTTCGGCTGGAGGTGCGGCCCCCTTTGGAAATCATAGACACCGTCTGCGGCCCCCCAGGGGGCTGTGGCCACTGCTGTAGGGACAGGAGGCAGGACTTCCTCCCACCTCAGCACAGGGCGTCGGCCTAGGTGACCTCTTGAGCATGGGTGGTGGGTAGAATAGGCCGGAGGAGACGCTGCCTCCCCTGGCGCTGCCACGGCCGCTGGATCCCCAGTTGCGGGGTTTGGTGGCGAAGGTTTTGCTTTTATTATGCCCCATGCAGGCACGTCCCGCATCCTCGGCTGCCCCGGAACCTGCATAGGGCATGGCAAAAGAGTCCGGGTGGGAGGGGAGGCGCGTCTGTGGCCAGCCCCGGGCTCCTCCAGGCAGGGGGAGGCTCAGGTCGGGGCTGTGGCCAGCCTAGCCAAGGCTCCTCCAGGTGGGGTGGCGGCGCTCAGGTGCTTCGCAGGGAATGAACAGAACAGGGCAATTATCCCGTGATCCAGCCCCTGGCGTCCAGTCCCAGCTTCTGGCAGTCAGAGGTTTAGGGACACCCAGAGAATGAGGTTGCATCTCTGACCATCTTGGCTAATAGCCATTGACAGACCTGTCCTCCAGGAACTTAGCTAATTCTTTTTTGAACCCCATTATACGTTTGGCCTTCACAACATCCCCCGGCAGGGAGTTCCACAGGTTGACTGCGCTGTGTGAAGAAATGCTGCCTTCTGTTTGTTTTAAATCTGCTGCCTGTTCATTTCATTGGGTTTGTGTCATGTGAAGGGGGAAATAACACTTCCCTCGTCACTGTCTCCAAACCAGTCATGATGGTGTCGACCTCTGTCACGTCCCCCGGATACAGGAAGGGGCACGAGGATATAATTACCCCACCTGCAGCCTGGACATAGACTGTCCGAATACGCCAGGGAAAGTCTCGCCCAGCCTCTGTGTGTGCTGCTGGCTTCACTACCTCTTCACCACTAGATCCAATCTAAGCGACTTCACCAAGATATTCAACCCATCCCAGCCCGAGCGAGCCCCTCTCACTCAGCATAGGACGTTGGGTCAGTGCTTGACGATCGATCCACTGGTTATTGGTGGTGGGCGAATTATGAATGATCGATGAGTCCTGATCGGATCACCTGAAAGGGCATTTTGTAGCGACTAAATGATTGGCCTGTAAAGTTTGGCCCCACTCCAGCTGTTGTGCCTGGGTGAGCAGCGCTGTGCACCAGAGCCAGCGCCGCGGTGTTATCCCTGCCGGCGTTACCACCTCCCACGGTCTCTCTGCCGCTCCCTCTCTTTAGCCCGTGGCCATGGAGGGGCCCGTGTGCCTGGTGGGGAACGGCGCCAACGGGGAGCTGGAGGTGAACCCCGCAGCGCTGGAGATCCTGCGCGGCGTGGCCCAGCCCGTGGTGGTGGTGGCCATCGTGGGGCTGTACCGCACCGGCAAGTCGTATCTCATGAACTCCTTGGCCGGGAAGCAGAGAGGTGAGAGCTGTCCCAGCCCCCTTCCCGTGGGCCCCGGGCTGGAGCCGGGAGCGAGGGGGCAGGCGTGCCCGGGCACTGGGTCTCTACCCCGTCTCCTCTCTCCCCAGGGTTCTCGCTGGGCTCCACGGTGCAGTCGCACACCAAGGGCATCTGGATGTGGTGCCTGCCCCACCCCCGCCGGCCCGGCCACACGCTGGTACTGCTGGACACCGAGGGGCTGGGCGATGTGGAGAAGGTGAGCGGGGGGCGGCGGGAGGGGGCTGGAGAAAGGGGCCATGCGGCCCCTGCCTGGGGAGCAGGTTCTGAGACCCCCAAGGCCAGAGGGACCCTGTGACCGTCTAGCCTGGCCCCTCGGATAACACCAGTCAGATTCCAGCCCCCCAGGAATTCCTGGAACGGATCGAGAGGAATGGCCGCCTTCATTTACACACTGCCAGGGACGGAGAATCCCCCGCGGTCCCTGGGCCGGCTGCTCCCAGGGTTCATTCCCCTCCCCGGTCAACACCGGCGCCTGATTTCCAGGCTGAATTTGCCGCACTTCACCTCCCAGCCGTTGGCTTCCCCCCGCTCGAGTGAGGAGCCCGGGCGACTCTCTGCTCCCTTTGGACAGACGGGAGTCCAAAGCCCTCCCTGGGCCCAGCTGAACAGCGGGAGCCCTGGTCTCGCTCGCTCTGGGGCAGGGCTTCGAACCCTCGAATCGTCCTCGGGGCTCTTCTCCGGCCCCTCCCCAATGTATCACCAGCCAGTGGGGAGCGCGGGGCCCAGGACTGGGTGCAGGGATCGCCAGGCCCAGAACCAGGCATGCATCCAGGCCAATCCCAGAGGGGAGATCCCCTCCCTGATGCCACTGGAGGGCTCCTGTTTGTGCAGCCCAGGCCGGTGCGCTCGGCCCCAGAGCAGCCCCCTCTGGCCCTGTGCTGGGCACCCGGGCTCGTGTTTCAGATCCAACCCCCCTTCGCTGCCCAGGGCGACACCAAGAACGACGTGTGGATCTTCGCGCTGGCCGTGCTGCTCAGCAGCACCCTGGTCTACAACAGCAAAGGGACCATCGACCAGTTCGCCATGGACCAGCTGCAGTATCCTTGTCGTGGGGGTGGCCCCTGGGGAACATGGGGCTGGGGTCCTGGGGGGTGGTCCCTGGGGGATGTGGGTTAGAGGCTCCTGGGGGGTGGCCCCTGGGGATGTGGGGCTGGAACACCCCCATTCAGTCCCACGCTGGGTGGTAGCACCCAGGCCTGGCCCCAGTTTGAGTCCTCAGCCCCCGGCCCAGCTTCGTGTCGGAGCTGACGGAGCACATCAAGGTGAAGGCGCAGGGAGGGGACAACGTGGAGGAGGACACAGAGTTCGTCCGCTTCTTCCCCAGCTTCGTCTGGGCCGTGCGGGATTTCACGCTGGAGCTGAGGATCGAGGGGCAGCTGGTGACGGAGGATCAGTACCTGGAGCACGCGCTGGCCCTGAGGAAAGGTGAGCTGGGGTCCGCTGTGTGCAGGAGGGGCCCATCACCCCTGGTATCCTGCCTCCTCCCTGCCCCCGAGATCAGGCCCATGGGCCCATCTACCCCGGCATCCCGGCTCCTGCCACTGAGGCCCAGGAGCCCAGTCATGGCCCAGGAGCCTAGTGTGCTGCACAAACACCGATCAAAGATACAGGCCCTGCCCCAATGAGCCGACGGTGTAAGAGACACGCGGTGGGGATAGACAGATGGGGGGCGCCTGGGAACACGGGGACAATATAGGGCAATGTGATCCAAACGGCCCTTCTCGGCACACGGAACAGGGTTATCTGTGAGCTCTGCAGCCGCCACTGGGTACCAGGTCTCTGCGTTCCCCCCCCCCGAAGGATATGTGGTGTTTTGATTACGTGGGTCGTCCTTGGGCAGTGAGGACCCTGGGTTCATTGGTGCATCTATGTGAGTTCCCCTCCCAGCCAGGGAAGACGGCCCCAGCTTGCTCTGCCATCTAAACACGTGATCTGACTGGGCACCCCGCCAGCCGCTCGTTCTGCCCACCCCTCAGGCACCTGCTGCTGCTACCTGCCTCTCTGCTGGTCAGTCTCTTACTGATTTTTAGCTCTCAACAGGCTGAGTGAAAACATGTCCCATCACAACTGATTTCAGCTCTGACCGAGCATTTGAAATAACGAAGAGGCTCCTAATGAAACCTGTTTAGCTCTTTTAACAGTGGGGAGGAACAGGTTAAACCAGTCCAGGGAACTGTAGGACGAGTCCACACCTCTTGGCTAGAACACCTGTCACCCCACCTCTTACTGGTACAGGGTTCTGGCATTTGAGCCCCTGGCTTAACGAGGTCCTTTCCGCTGAGGATGGCCCCCTCATTTGGGACAGGTTAAGCACAATTCTGCTCCCCTTTATTCATACAATAAAGACAACAACACTGATAACATTTCCCCACCCTGCATTCAGCACTAAAGTGATTTGTAACCCAACACCAGCCAAAGTTGATCACTTTGAGCAACACTGCTCCTGTCTGCTGGATACCTAGGCAGAGTAGGTGTGTCCATGTCAATACAGTTTGCTCCTGAAGTCTCTCCCCCTCCCAGCTAGTTGTCAGGGGACAATTCATTCAGACCCTGCTTACGAGGTGTAGTTACAGCCGACCGTTTGGGTTTGGTTGAAACCTGCGGTTTAAGGCACCATTTTGCAGGTTCCGGTTGGGTTTGTTGACTTGGGAAGAAAATAAATAATAAAAAATCCAAAAATCTGGATTTTTTTCTTTTGGTTTTAAACAACTTTTGGTTCCAAAATCTCCATTTGACTTTATTCAGCATCCCAACTCCAGGCGTGTTTAAAAATGGCCGTAATCAAAACACCACGTTTCCTTCAGCTCCAAAGTAGGTTTTTCTCAGCTTTTCAATTTTCCAAAACTTTTAGTTTTCCACCTGACCTAAGCCAAATTTTTCTGTGACGTTTGGAAGCTGCCAACGACCCAAACCTCCGTTATTAGCGCAGTGCTGGGTGTAGCCCCCTGCTTCTCCTTGGCTCTCCAGGCATCAACAAGAAGGTGATGGAATTCAACCTGCCGCGTCAGTGCATCCGCAACTTCTTCCCCACCCGCAAGTGCTTCGTGTTTGTCCAGCCGACGTCGCGGCAGGAGATGGGCCAGCTGGATTCGCTGCCCACCAGTGCCCTGGACCCGCAGTTCCTGGACCAGACCCGCCGGTTCTGTGACTACGTCTTCCACTGCTCCCACGTCAAGACAGTCAAAGGAGGGATTCCAGTCAATGGGAAAAGTACGTCAGCCCCGCGGCTGCTCGGAGGAGACACAGATTGATGACTTTGCCGGGTGCTCTTGCACCTGGCCTCGTAGCAGGGATGGAAACGGGGGGTTGTCCTGCATTCAGGGATCCTGGGAGCCGCCCAGTTTCAGGTTCGGATGGACGACGCTCCCCTGCCTTGGAAATATGTGGGTAAAATGGCTCCAGCCCGGTCCCAACTCTGCAGAAAGGCCCAGGGAGCCCTGCTGAGATCCTGCTGGCGTTACCCACCGGCGGGCGGGTGTGACGGGTGCCTCCGCTGGGCCGACCCACCAGGGAGAGGAGCTCGTTCCGGGCCCGGCTAGGGAGCCCTGGCTCTGCTCAGAGGATACTCGTTCCGAGCCTCTGACAGTTCAAATCCCAGATGAGCCCCGTTGGACCGGGGTCTGCAGAGCTAAGAGCAGGAGCTCTGTGTCTGCAACGGGAATAACCCCTATCCCCCGGGGGGTCAGCGCGGAGGAGAATCTGGGACATGCTCCCCAGCGGAGTCCCCGGGGTGCCAGGTACTGTACAAATATACAGTCCCCTCCCCCCAGCTCTTACCCCTCCCCCTTCCCTCGCGCAGGGTTCGGCTCCTTAGTGCAGAGCTACGTGGGCACCATCCGCAGCGGGCAGGTGCCCTGCCTGGACAACGCGGTGACCGCCATGGCCGCCATCGAGAACGAGGCGGCCCTCAGGGAGGCGATGGCTCACTACGCGGCCGGGATGGGGGCGCTGCGGCTGCCGGCGGAGCTGGCCGAGCTCTCGGCAGCGCACGGGACACACGAGGGGGACGCCCTGCGGCTCTTCATGCAGCGCTCCTTCAAGGACGAGGAGCAGGAGTTCCAGAAGCAGCTGGTGGTAGGTGGGGGCGTCCCGGGCCGGGCCCAGCGGCAAGGAGAGCGTTGCTGGGATGGATCTGCACTGCGGGGGGCCCGCTGGGCACCAGTGGTGGGTCAGGGCCCCTTTGTGCCCTGCGCTGTACGGATACCCGACCGAAACCTGGTCCCTGCTCCAGGGACCGTCCAATCCCCAGATGACCTGATTGGCTAGTGGACCATTGGCTCCCCCAATCCTCCGATTGGCCAATGAATCTGTGACCCTCCTATCCTCTGATTGGCCAGTGGACCATTGGCCCCCTGTTCCCCTGATTGGCCAATGACCCTTTGACCCGCTGATCCCCCGACTGGCCAATGAGCCTTTGACCCGCTGATCCCACGACTGGCCAGTGACCCACACTCGGGTGCAGGCGTCAGCCAGGGGAGGCGGGGGGCACCGGAATCCAGCCCCAGCCGTAGCTCTGCGATGGGGTTTCTCCCTTTCCGTGCCCAGGCCGGGATCATGGAGCGATACGCAGACATCCTCGCAGAAAACGAGGCCGTTTCGGAGCAGACCTGCCGCGCCCTGCTGGAGGAGCTCTCGGCCGCCATGCAGCAGAGACTCAGCGCCGGGCTTTACTCCCAGCCCGGCGGGTACCAGGCCTACGACAGGGACCAGACCCAGGTGGTGGAGAATTACCGGGCCAAGCCCAACAAAGGAGTCAAGGTGAGTGTCTGAAATTAGCTCCCCCCCATCTCGGCCTGGCAGCTACAACAGCGACTGCAGCTCCGGGAGAAGGAGCCGGATTTCACTCCGGCTCGTATCTCGCCAGCAGAGCTGGTGCCTAAACCCCCGCGGCCGAGTCAGGCTTCCCCGCTTCGCTGAGGACAAAGCAGAGGGGCGACGGCAGGGAAAGGCCAGGGGGGAACCGGGGTCTGATCAGTGACAGATTCAGAGTTTGTGGGGCCCTGGGCTCAGCTTCATTTTTTGGGGCCCCCTCTGTGGGGGGAGCATTGTCTCTTATCTCCCTCCCCCCCATTTTTCATTTTTTCTCCATTCTCCTGGGGCTCAGGCTGGGGGTGGGGGGTCTGGGAGGGAGTTAGGTGCATGGGAAGGGGCTCAGGGTGGGGGTGAGGGGGTCTGGGAGGGAGTTAGGGTGCGGGAGGGGGCTCAGGGTGGGGGTGAGGGGGTCTGGGAGGGAGTTACAGGGCAGAAGCAGCCTGGGGGTGGGGGTCTGGGAGGGAGTTAGGGTGCGGGAGGGGGCTCAGGGATGGGAAAGGGGGTTGGGGTGCAGAGCGCTTACCTGGGGCAGCTCCTGTTTGGTGCGGGGGGTGCAAGTGGCTCCGTGCACCCCCGCAGCTCCCATTGGCTGCGATTCTCGGAGCCGCCTCCCCCCGCCAGGCAGGGCTGCCCGGAACGCGGGGGCTTTGGGGGCTGCAGCCCAGGGCACAGCCGGCGGCCGGAGAGAAGCATGTTTCCCCTTCAAAGCGCCGCTTCTCTCCGGCCGGCTGCGCAGCCGCCCCATGTCCTCCTGAGTCCTCCGGCCGCGTTCGCGGCGCTCCTGCCGCCCGCACCACCCGCCTGCTCCCCCCAGGCTGCGGGTGAGCCTCCCTCCCTGCTCCCCTGCCCCCCACAGCTTCTCCCCCGCAGCCCCCCTCCCGCCAGTGCTGAGCTGGCCAAGTGCCCGGCCCGGGGGCCCCGCGCCAGGGCACTGTGTGTTTCATGGTAAATTGTGACCTGCAGTCACTGTGGCCCATGGTGATGGACTCCGATCCCACGGGAGGAGTTGGAAAGGTCTCCCTTGGTCACGGAGCAGGAAGGCGCCGGGGGCAAATTCCCCCCAGGATCCTGCCCCGCTCTGCCTGGGCCCAATCCAAATCTTTCCATTGGCTGCGATGGGCTTTGGATCCGGCCCTGTATGAACAGAGATCAGGCCTTGTGTGAAATGACACCACATGTGTCAGAGGTTCATCGATTCTCAGCCCACGAGGGGCCCCTGTGATCAGCGGGTCCGACCTCCTGCATAGCACCGGGCGTAGGACGTCCCTGAAGTGATTCCTGTATGAACGAGAGCAGATCTCATAGAGAAACACCCACATTGCCCCGCGGGTGACAGCATTTGCCTTGCGAGCCGGCAGCTCCTCTCGACCCAGTCGCTTGCTTTCTAACCCGGGGGTCTGGCACACCGTGGGGAAGCCCCCTCCAAAGCGTTGATTTTCCAGCCCCGAGGGGATGAGGCGGCAGAGAGGCGGGATCAGTCCCTGAGCTGCAGCTCAGCTCCCATCTCCCCACCCCTGACTCCGGCCCCTGTGATCCCTCTGTGTTCATGGGGGGAACATTTTGCCCTGAGGTGGAATAAAGTCCCCTGTGAGGCCTGCTCCCCTGAGAAAGGAGGGAGCTCATTAGCATATTGATTGGAGCTCACGAATAATCCAGCGCTTGGCCATCTCTGGTCCCAGGCGGAGGAGGCTCTGGAGCAGTTCCTGGCCGGTAAGAAGGCCGAGGCGGAGGCCGTGCTGAAGGCCGACAACCTGCTGACGGAGGCGGAGAAGCACGTGGCCGGTGAGACCCCACAAACAAGCCCCTGCCCCCTTTTCTTTGCAGCAGACCCAGTTTCCGTGGCTGTAGCGTGTCTGTGCAGCGCCTGGCGCCGCGGGGCCCTGGGCCGGGACTGGGGCTCGTGGGTGCTACGGCCATGCAGACTGCAAATAATACCAGGTCACACGCTGCAGAGTGTCTGTCAGCCAAACTCACTGCACCCACCCGGGAGCCCCCTGCACCCCCCCCCCCCCCCAGCAAACTCCCCGGGTGCCCCCTCCCAGCCCCCTTTATTTCAGAGACTCCCTGCAACCCCCTGCCCCTCCTCCCATGCCCAGGGCTCTGAATGCCCCTCTCTGCCCCCCATGCCAGGGGCTCTGTGCGTCCCCATCCAAACTGCCCTTCGAGCCGTGGTTAGGTAGGTCCCATGCTGAGATGCTGGTGTCAGGGGATGGCTGCCTAGTTACCCGCCCTGTCTCATGCCAACCGAGTCGGGTGCGGGTTTGCGTGGTACCCGGGGGCTGCTCCAGGCGGTTGGGGGAGGGGCTGTGCCTCTATTTCCCCCTTTCTTTCCCCCCAAAGAGGAGAAGCAGAAGGCTGAGATGCTGGAGCAGCAGCGGAAGGTGGCGGAGGAGAAGCGGCTGCAGACGGAGCAGCTGCTGAAGGACCAGGAGCGCAGCCACCAGGAGAACGTGAAGCAGCTGGAGGCCAAGGTGGCGGAGGAGCTGGCCAGTGCCCGGCAGGAGGCGGAGCGGGCGCTGGAGAGCAAGCTGAAGGAGCAGGAGGCCATGCTGCAAAAGGGCTTCGTGGAGAAAGCCAGGCTGATGGAGGACGAGATCTCGGGCCTCCGGCGGGAGATCAGCTCCGCCAGCACGACCGACTTTCTGTCAAAGCTTTTCGGCGCCATTGGGGAAGGGCTGAGAGCCGTCGCCAGCGTGTCCGATTTTCTGACGTACAGGCGCCAGCGGGGGAAGGGGACGAGTAACCCCAGTAAAACCCAGAGACGAAAGTAGCCGGGCCCCTGTGGGGTCCCCCCCGGCGGCAGGTCCCACAAACGCTGCTTCTCTGCACAGCCGAAAGCTTCTGCTGACTAATTCCTGCGGTCTGCCAGATCCCCCAGCTACTAACACAGGGCCCGGCGCTGTCTGCAAAAGGAAGTCACAGGACGCCTGGGTTCTGTCCCCAGCTCCGAGAGGGGAGCAGGGTCTAGTGGTCAGAGCGGGTGGGCTGGAGCCAGGACGTCTGGGTTCTGTGCCCACCTCCTGCACTGTAATTCTGTGTAACTTTGTGCTGGTCACATCACTGTTCTGTGCCTCAGTTTCCCCTCTGTGAAATGGGGACCTTCCCTCTGGGAGGACCAAGTTGTGTTTGTTAGGTGCTGAGCGGATGGTGCTATCTACACGCACAGTGTTAACACAGGGATCTCCAGCGACAGGCTCCAATTTCCCTGCATGCCCCTACGGCCATGTAAATGCAACCCCACTCCCAGGGCCGTATCCCTGCCGGCGCTGTAACGCGGCTGCTGGGTGTCTAGGGAGAGGCAGCTGTGGGGATGTCTCCTTTCCCCGGCTCAGCATGCTGAGAGCTGGGTCATTATCCCCCCGTCTGTAACGGGAGGGGCCGGCAGGTGGCTACAAACTCCCCAACGCCTGTATCTCCCTGCGCCGGGAGATGCTGCCCCCTGCAGCCCGGGTAGGAATTAAACAGGTTTGCATGAGCTGGAGCAGCCCTGTCCCAGTGTCTTTATTAATGACATCTCTCACTCTCCCTCCACCTGCAAATCCAAGAAAACAGAGCCGGAGGGGCTATTTTTCTTCTCCAGTGGAAGCACGCAGCTGTCCCATGAGGCTTTGCAGCATTAGATCCCCCTTGCACATAGACAGATATCGATATGGAGAAGATTCTACAATCAGAGGCTAAATGGAAGGAGCAATTAAGCCCCTTCATGGAGTGAGATTGCCAGAAATTAGAGAAGCCACTGTCCAAGGCACTGGGCCACAGGCGAGGCTAGAGCAAAAATTAAAGGCAGGTAGTTTCCCTGGTTGCAAAGGCAGCGGCTAAGGTTTCAGGCTGATGTGTCCGTGGCTGTTTAGAGTAGAAGATCCAGGAGAAAGGGAAAAAAGCAATGGCGAGCTAGCGTGACCCCAAGCGGGAAGCAAAGGGACAGCTTCTTGGGCACAGATCCGGCTGGAGAGAGACGCTGGGGATGTCTGAGCAAGGAAACTGCCCACTATTGTACGTCTCCACTGCGGGCCGGGCAGCAGGCCTGGGTGGGCGTTCGTTGTAAAGACACAGGACCGCACCCAAGGACAGACCTGACTCGTAGCTTCATTTTCTCCTTCTCCTGGAAACACCCTGCAAAGCCCCAACTATCAGCAAACCCCACGGGCCCAGAAGGGCAGCAGCAGCTTTCTGAACGGCAGCCGGGCAGGCTCTGGGGTCCTGCAAAGATCCAGCGCTGAGCGCGTGTTCCCGCGGCTAATCACCCGCCTGGTTAAATATATTGGTCTTATTTCCAGCTGGAACGTGTCTGGCTTTAACCCCCAGCCGGCAGTTCTTGTCCTGCCTTTCTCCACCCGCTCCCAGGCAGGGACTCCACGGGGGCGTCAGACGGCAGGACGCCCACTCCTGAGCGGGGGCGGGGCGGAGTCTGGGCATTTAACTCCAACTGCTTTGACCAGAACACCCCGAATGTGCACCAGGGGCTCTGTCTGCAGAGCCGGGCGCGGGCACTGCCGAGCCTGACGAGAAATCCGCTTTTAACGGAACGCTCTGCCCAGCTGAGGTGTGTGTGTGTGTGTGTCCCTGCCGCCCCCTGCTGGAGGGGCTGAGCCCTGCTCTGTGTGTGTGCGCATCTACCGGCACAATGAAATAACAGCATCCGTTGTGGTGTTCGCAAGTTGTCGATTCACTCCAGCTGCTGGCCTGCGGGCGGCCGGGGGCATCTCTGACCCCTCTCCCCTTGAGACACTGGGGCTGATTTTCAGACTCGACAGGCGCTGTGGGGGCTCAGCCCCACCCCCTAAACCAGCCCGAGGGGGCAAATTGCCAAAGGGCTTTAGGCACCTAGTGGGATGCTCAGCCCGGCCTGAGGCGGTTGGGGCCAAACGCCCCTTGATCTCGCTGGGCGTGCCGGGGCAGACCAGACCCAGCAGTTCGTACCGTGCTGTGTTAGCTCCCTGGACAGCACACGCCATTCGCACTCAGGGTCCGTCTACACTGGGACGGCAGCTGGAGGACCAGACCCGGCCCAGGCAGTTCGTACTGCGCTGCATAAGCTTTATATCCTCGGGCGGGTTCCTGGGCCTGGTGGCAGGTCGGGGCCCCCGTAGGAAGCGTGAAACCCGAGTCCGTCTGCGGAGGGACAGCCTGGCCCAGGGGTGGGCAAACGAGGGCCACATCTGGGAACAGAAATTGTATGGAGGGGCCATGAATGCTCACAAAACTGGGGTTGGGTGCGGGAGGGGGTGAGGGCTCTGGCTGGGGGTGTGGGCTCCGGGGTGGGGCCAGAAATGTGGAGTTCAGGATGTGGGAGGGGGCTCTGGGCTGGGGCAAGGGGTCGGGGTGCGGGAAGGGGTGCAGGCTCCGACTGGGGGTGCGGGCTCTGGGGTGGGGCTGGGGATGAGGGGTTTGGGGTGCAGGAGGGTGCTCCGGGCTGGGATGAGGGGTTCGGAGGGTGGGGGGGGATTATTAATAAGTTTACATTGTACAGATCCCTGTGCAGTGCCAGACGGTCTAATTCTGGGGTCAGACTCCAGCAAGGCTGCAAGGCGGGGGAGCTGGGAAATTGGCTGTTTGTCCTGGAGTGGCTTCGGTAAAGCACTCAGGTAGCTCAGTTGGGTGTGTGGCGCCTCCTGCTGTCGTGTTGGGTGATAACAGGGCCTGGTGAGGCTGGCTGAATCTCCAGCAAAGCAGTGTGGGAGAGGCCTGCCCAGCTGGGGGCTTAGAGCCCACAGCGGTTCCCATGGCTCCCAGACTGCACCCTGGGGTGACAGCCCATCACACCCGCTGTCAGGGCTGAGAGCAGTACCTGGAGGAGGACTGCTGGGGCTACCTGGTTGACCCAGCTTAGCCCTTTCCAGCTCTAAGCGCTTCAGCTCCATCTTGGCAGCTGGATCCCGGGTAGGGGAGGGCTGACCATTCCCTCCGGGGGGATCTCCGGTCCCCCATCCCCTCCCTGCATTTCCGTCATGGAGCTGGATGTCTGGGCTTGATCTGGGCCTGTCTTCTCCGTGGCGTGCCGCTTTGGGAAGACTGGTTGCTCTAGGGTTTCGGTGCCCGACCGCAACCTCGTGCACAGGGCTGCCCTGCTCTAGTCCAGCTTTTTCGTTGCCACCAAGCTAGAAAAAAATAAACTGCTTGTTGGGCTCCCTGGCTTGGCAGGCCGAACCCTTTGCCTGCTCCTCCTCAGCCAGCAAAGCAAAGAAAGAAAGAAAACCTCCCTGGCTTTGCAGGCTGCCGAAAGGAAAAATGTGTCCTTTTCAAATCCTGAGCTCTGTGCCTCTGGTTCAAAATGATCCCACTGCTACCACCATGTCAAAGCTAATTCCCCACTCTGGCACTTCGAGTGCGGAAGGTGGAGGCCTGTAAGGACTCTAAAAATTAATACTGGCCACTCCAGGCTGGTATTAAACTCCCCAGGCTACAGCTTTTCTCTGACCTTGGCTTGGTAAACGCTGCCACGACCCAAGTGCAGAACCCCTTGGAGAGCCCAGGAAGGCGCACTTGGGAATTCCTTTCTTTGGGGTGCCCTCCAGCCCCTTCACACATCCTTCGGGGAAGAGCTGAGAAAGAAAACAAAGGAAATCAGCTGTTGCCACCAGCTAATTAAACATCATGTGCACAAACCTCTTAGACACAAAAATCCAATCCTGTTCTGAAAAAAGATAAATTTTATTAATAAAAAATCAAAGAAAGAAAATTCATCTGGGAACTTAGGCATTTGCTAGATTTTAAAAGCGTAACTACAAGGATTCAGCACCAAGAATAGTTTTCTGGAGGTCCAGCTTAAAGGTTACAAGCAAAACAAAAGCACCTGGGGTTAGCAGAGAGGCGTCCACAAGCCATAAAGAAATAAAAGAGAGAAATCTAATTGCGTCTTCCTAGACATTCCCTGATCTACTTACATATCTGGGGTTTCAATGAGTAGTTTCTAGGTATGATACTTTTCATACCTGGCCCCAAGCGTCTTACAGCACAGTTGTGCCTTGTCCCCTCTCCCCGGGAGAACAACCACAGACAGACCAAAGGGGCGTCTTTGTTCAATTTTAAAAAATTCTAGCCTTCCCATCGGCTCGTTTGGCCAGGTGCCCACACCCGCCTTCAGTCACAGCGAGGCCCCTTTCCCCAGACAGCCACTTCTCATCTCCTGAGCCAGCTCCCGAGTTTGGCACCCTCCCCAAAGCGTGTCCTGCTGGATGCCACGTCCTTCTGAACCTGTTCTTTTCAAGGTCTTCCCCTGGCTGCTACAGCCCCATTATACACCCGGCTCGTCGCACCAGGGGGCAGCGGAGACCAGAGCTGCCGACGCTCATGAGTGGAATCATTTTCCATAAAGCCCCAGCTCCTGGAGTCAGGTGGGTCTGGGCTGGTTTCAGGCTTAAATAAAAAGGAAGCTTTGAACCCTCGTGGTTGTGCAGAAAGCGACAAAATGTGACCCCCGGGCACCCTAGTGACTCAACGAGCAGACGGCAAATAACAAGCCCCCCAGAGCTCGTTTCTTTACATAATCTCGTGATTTTCAAACCAATCTTGTGATTTTGGGGGAGCCTGGCTCGCGATTAAGGATACGATTCTGTCACGGATGGAGGTCACAAATTCCAGGACTGTCCGGGACGTCTTTGGGGGCAGGGCTGGAGCAGCTCTCAGACCCGGAGCAGTGGCCACCAGAACCGGTGTCTGGCAGCCAGTCCCGGTGCCAACGGAGCAGCGGCCAGGGTTGGGTCAGCCCCCCTGGGCCTGGAGTAGCTGCAAGCCCTGGCAATACTCTCACAGGGTGTGACCCAGGGGATTCAGACCGTTAATACGTGGAGCTGCAGGCACCAGTGCAAAGCCCTGTGGTCAGTTGGGTTCAGGACCACAAGCCCTTGTCACATCTCAGGACTAACCGAGATCCCAGCGCGGGCGCAGCTGTTACAGGGCCCAGCTGGGAAGAGCCCCACGAGGGACGCGACGAAGGCAGACGTGAATGTTCCCGCCCTGGATCGGAAGGAAGTGGCCGAGGCATTCGGCTCTAGCAGCGGGACCAGGCTTTCTGTTAGGCCAGTGACCGGGGGGATGTTAAATACCAGATGCTAAAGTTACACATCTCTAAATCGGCAGGACCCGGTACCCTGTACGGAAGAGTCGCAAAAGAATTGGCCAAGGATCTCCCTGAACCATTGGTGTTGATATG